TATTTTGAACCATTGGTCATACAATGCAGTTTTTGTTTTAGAATAGGTCATTAGAAGAAAATTAATATTTATTTTTTTGAAGCAAACAAGGCGAGTAATATTTTAAATTTTGCAACAACTTTGTTTCCTAACATTAATGCATAACTTACTTAAACAAATACAATCTGTTGTGTTTATTGCAATTAAGTGTAGTCTGAATTTTTATCTTTGACATCTATATAGACCTTTAAGGCCCCCTTTGGATGGCATGAGAAATAGAGGATAGGAATAGGGAAATGTAGGATTGAAGGTGGCATGTTGTGTGAATCTTATGGAATGAATCCTATAGGAATTTATCCTCACTGTGCCTTTGGTTCACAGAAATTGACTTCTCTCTACTTGCTATCTATATCTATACCTAATAATAAAGAGAAAAAATTTTCACCCATTTTTTCATCCATCCATTTTTTCGGTCCGCCTCAGACTAACTACCAAACATCACTCTTTCTATTAGCTCACTTACTTAGTTTAGAGATGCAAAACCTTATATTTACACAACTCATATTATTTACACAACTTCTCATGTTTGAATATATAATGCAAGTGAACATCTCTCGACCGGCTCCATCTGGACTTGCGGTGCGGATATTTCTCCTAGTCCACTTACGGTGCAAGTTCTGTAGTACCACCCAAGCATCATCGCAGCTTACAAGCTTGTTCTATTCCCAAAGAATTGGAGCCTTGGTTCTTTGGAGTGGCAATTCTACTAATGATAGTACTGTTTTTCCTAATCCGTAGAAAAGAATAAAGAACTCAAAAGATGGAAGGAAATAACCATCTGGATGCATGTAGTTTTTCCCCGTGTCAAGAAGGGCCAAGAAGGTAAGGGTTTCTGTTTTTTTTTAATTGTGATATTGTAATTCTTTCACGAAACGCTCTGCTATTTGGATGTCCAACTGTCTTTGGATAATTTAATGAGGTTTATATGGCATACGATACAAGTGCATACTACCATTTCTTTGTGAATCGTGGTTGATTAAAAGTCTCTCCTGCTTGTTTTAACCGAGAATTTAGAGCATTGGTGTCTTCTTGGCGTCGCGACACCTAGCGCTACAAGTTTCACAGAAACACCCTCAATCTTTTAGGGAATTAACCCGCAGTCCAGTTAGAGATGCCTCTCCACTCGGTCCAAACCCTAACCCCATCCTCATTCTGCGCTTTCCTTTCTCTCTCTTCTCCTCGTCCGCCGCCGCCGCTCCATCGCCTCGAATCTCCCGGTCCCGGGTAGCGTAAGTCGCGAACTCCCGACACGCCACCGGCCACCGTGGCGGGCGACTCCGACCGAGCTCGAGCGCGTCAAACGTCTACTACAATGAGGCCTCTTTCGACGACGATTTGTGCCCGGGAGCCCGACACACGTGGACTCCATTGCTTGGGGACCTATGGCCACATCTTCCGCCCCGAGAACTTCGTCTTGAGCCGGTCGGGGCCAAAACAATCGGGCCAAGGGCCACTACATTGAGGGAACCGAGCTCATCGACACCGTGCTTTCGACGTCAGGCGCAAGGAGGCAAGAAGCTGCGACTAGCGGCAAGGTTGGTTCTGCCAACAGGTTGTTGTATCCAGCTTTAATGTTCGGCAAGGTACACACAAAGTCACCCCTAATCTTGCAGATGACTTGTATTGGATCCAATGGATTCATCATTATTGAATTGGTTGTATGTGAAATCCGGTAGATTTATTAATGAGTTGGTTCCGTATGTGGAAGGGCGGTCATCCGGTTCTTCCCGTAAGTAGTATTCGGGAGTGACATCTCTGTGCAAACTAATTGCCCTTTTAGTTATAGAGGTAGTGGAGCTATTAGTAGTTGATTGGATCTAAGAAGATCGACACCATGCCGCAAGGATCCAAAGATTGGATCAGACCAAAACACAATAGCAAGTTCGTGAACCTTGCGAAGGGAAGCTCAAGCCACAAAAGGCTTCTCCCCACCATGCTAACAATTGAGTTGAGGCCAATGGGCTAGACACCTTGCGTCGGGTGTATCTTTGGCGTGAGATCGGACGGATTTATGTTCGTTGAGGCCGGAAACCGCTGCCCGTCGAGGCCGATGTGCTTCTCTGTATGTTCCACTATGCCCAATTTTAGTCTTTCGATTTCAAAGTACCAATAATCAGAATCGATGTGGTTTTTAATCTACTCATTTGCAGCTTGTGTTCATTTGTAAGACTTCCAAATCGTGATACATTTTACTATTATTACTTGTCTAACAATAGGCGCCTTAGAAGAACTATTGACTCATTGACCCCATGAGTGACCTCACCTTCATATATTCAATAATGAGCAAAGAAACAGTTTGGTCACCTATTTTTTGATTGATGTGCGACATCTTGTGTTTAGGTGATTTCTAAAATGATGAAAATTGATTTGAGTTAGAACTTTTAATATGTAGTGCGTTTATGGATTAGTAATGAGAAATATGCTAAAATGTCATTATTGAACTATCAAAATCTGTGTGTTTTCAAATGAAAGAAGGTCTATCACCGGCGTAATGAAGATGGATCACGACAAATTCGATGCGAGAGCTTTGATAAGATGATCGTATGATTTCTATGTTATTACGTCTGGCTTCATACATTGTTATATACGGAGAAGAGGTAGCTTTACATCTACAATTTGTAGTGCATAGATAGTAACAACCTCTTTTTCGATTGCTTTTTGTAATTTTGCTTATCGATACCCACTATTTAACTATGAGTTGCTAATTTTGTCTCATTACAACGTAGTATAACAAGGCCATATTGTTTGCGGAAGGTAAATATCTCTTTCCCATGTTTTATTTCCTTCCGAATCTTACCGTACTCAATAGGCTGGCTCTCGATTGACCTTTTTCACATATGGGTTACTTGGAAGCTCTCATGATTAAACTACCAAAGTATGGTGATTGGTAATGGCCTTTTCAGGTTTGCTTTTGGTACTTCTCAAACGCATGTTAGATAGCATATGCTATATTCTTATGTAAATTTATTATTTGCTTGGATTTATATTTTGGTATTCCATTGGTCAAGAAATCATATTGTCACTATGTTTTAATACTTCTATTATCTTTCTTGTTCGCCTGTCTTAGAAGTTTGAACCATTCTAAAATTACAACTGTAATGAATTGACTTATTTCTTGCACCAAATTCAAGTATACAATAGTTCGATTATTGACTGATATAATCGAGCAATACTTATTTGGGAAAAGTAATCGCACAATATTTTGATTAAAGAAAACAATATTGTTTTGTCAACACATACTTAATCTTTAATCAATGGTTGTCACTTTCATTGGGTCAATGCTAGCTTACAGCCACAACACCATTTACGTTAAAAAAACAGTTTCGACACCAATAGGTGTATACCATATCTTCCGTGAGAGTGGAGTTAAAAAAATATCTTCCATAGAGTGTATATCGGTTGTTACAAGATTTTCTATTTTCTTATGCAATATTTTAGTGATCATTACCATGTTTTTGTCATGTTGCTTGTATTAATAATTTTATGATTAGTGATTATTATTACATGCTCACTACAATTATACCCTGGATCATTTGCATTCATTATGTTGGCAAAATTAACTACCAAGCCTGTAACTGTGTACAACATGCATACCATTTCAGAGGCCTTGTTTCCACTGATTTCGGACTAGCTTGCAGGAAAGCCAATTTTTTAGACAGCTTGTAATTAAGATGTTTCTTTTCAAGATTGGATAAGATTAAATTTTGTTTAATGGTCTTGCTCTTGACTTATGAATCAGGTACACGAAGATGTGGTCAAGACCCACTGTCGTTGTCAAACGACACTTCTGCCTAGCCAATGTTAAGGGATTTGGAGTATAAGTTGATTTTAACTGCACGTCAATCAGAGATTCTTCTATGAGTCTTTATGTTCAACGTCATGACAAACTCTTTTTAAGTTCATTATGGTTGCATGTATACTTCCTACTTAGATGTATTTTTTTTTATTTTTCAAATCTCACACCCTAAATTGATCTACAATACTGACCCTTTATAGTGATGCCTAATGTAGAGAAGTTTTCAAAGATGTCTCAATGAAATTCATGGAATGTTTTTTAAGAATCATAGTGTATTACATGGAAAAAGTTTTCTTAATTTTTTCTATGAAACAAGAAAATTGTCGTTTGAATTTGACTAAATAATTTATTAGTTTGAATTAGTTTGGCTAAATAGCCAAGATAGGGCGCCCGAAGGGCGCCAAATGTTCTAGTATTCTTGATTCTAGATGATACAAAACTCATTTATGGCTGTCGGTGTGGATGTGATAAGGGAAAGGAGCCAGAATGAGAGTTATAGCCTAAGGCAAACATGAGGGAAAACATAAGGGCATAAGCCCAGTTAATATGTTTTGCTTCTTCCATGCTATTAAAAAAAATCTACCATGTGCACAATCTGACAAATATATATATAAAAAAAACTCGACCATGGGAGGAGACTCCTCTATATGGCTTTGAAATAAGAAGGTGCCAGGGCTTGAACCCGGTCGGATGGGAGAGTCCCAGAGCTCACTCCTCTAACCCACACACCATGAGAAGCTTGGCCAAGACAAATCAATATCTCAAGTTGGTATACATGGTATCCCTCTTCCACTCATTGTCTTAAATAAAAAAAACCTAGGATGGGCTAGTTGATTTCTAATTTTAAAGTAAATAGACACCCAAATTCGAGATATGGAGGACTGAACATGGATGGGCGGTGTCTGAGAACTCCCATAAGTCGAGCTAAGCTCAGTTCTTTTCATCATCATCATGAGGCTATCAATAAAATGGATAATAATGATGTGGTCTGATTTTTTATTTATTTATTTATTTTTTTTTTTTTGCCAAAGTGCATCATATTAAATACTATGATGGACTTCCCTGTAATTTATTCAAAACCTTATCCTTATGGTTCAATTTATTTGCCTACCGTAAATGTTTTCCGAGCAATTCCACCATTTTTGGCAGATTTAGTTACTGAGAAATGAAGAAAGCAACAAGGAACTTCAAAGACGGTGTTAGGAGGAGGTGAAAATGGTACAAAGATTCAGAGGACAACTAAATGATGGATCCGTGGTTGCTATCGATGATCGTTGAGAGTTCACCAAAACAAAATTACCATGAATTTTGTAAAGAAATGGAATTTCTTGGGCGGTTGCATCACCGCATCTTGTTGGACTAAAAGGTTTTTGTTCAACAAGATTTGAGAGGTTAATATCTGTTGTAACTAAATTCAGATATCCACCAATTATGGTTGTTACGTTGTTCGTGATCCGTGTTTTTCGGTATATGAATACATGGAAAATGGAAGCCTTCAAGATCACCTGCATTGTAATAAGTCATGTTCTATTCTCATATTCTTCCGATGATGCATCATTTGTTGAATTGTATGTTTAAAATCACTCTGCTCTTTTCAAAGACCAAGTAAACATCTGCTACCATGGAAAAATAGGGTCCGAATTGCCATCGATGTTGCTAATGCTTTGGTAAGTTTCAGAAATCTGTGATTGTTTCTTTCTTTCTTTCTTTCTCAGAAGTCGAGAATCGTGATAAGCAAGACTTATTAGTTGTTTCTTACAATTTTGTCAACTTGTGAAAGGCTGAATCAATATTTACCATACTCCCTGTCATGACTAAATATATTTCAAATTTATGTTTTACTTTTTATGATGTTTGGTTACAGGAGTACCTTCATTTTTATTGTGATCCTCCACTATACCATGGAGATGTTAAGCCTAGCAATGTCTTCTTGGACAAGAATTACCTTGCAAAGGTAATTCATACAGAACTTTGTCACAATTTACAATCCTATTATGCACATCCCAACTGTTTGTCCTTTAACAGCTTGCTGGCTGCGGTCTTGTGCACTACTCTAGTAGTGGCAATACAACTCCTAGTTGCACACTAGTAAATGTCAAGATCCAAGCAACTCCTGGTAAGGCTATGTTGTTTATAAATTCTGGTGCCTTTTGCTCTGTCAATTTTTAGATGAAGGAACCAGTATTTTGAATGTAGTCCTGACCTCTGCATCCGACTGTTAAGCTGAAAGAATAGAAACTGTAGTGTGCACAATGTGTCACCATATGTCCATATCAAACCTAATGTACCAAATCAAAAACCCACATGATAATCCTAAACTCCATTTACCATTTTTTGTTTTACGCACAAAATACAAAGTTTCATCAATTATGTTAGGTGAATTACATACTTCAATCATAACCTCTATCCTGTGTTTCGAATTTGCTATATTAATTTATCTCATATTGTAGTATGATGCTATCCGTTTTTTGTCCTTGCTATCCGTTTTTGTCCTTGCTATATTAATTACAGACTTCAATCATAACCTCTCTTCGTTAATTTGCAATTAATGCACACCAATGCAACTAGCAGAATGTTTCAAAACCGAAAGTGGTTTCAATTGTTAGGTTCAAATGATTAGGAGACATTCATTCACGTGGAATTCCTCTTGCCGATAAGGATCATGACATCATCGTTTCTTTTCAAAACAAAGAAATATCAACAAGGCCACCTCTAACCCGTAAGCTTTCATATTTCACACGTCGCAACTTTTATATGTCCATAATTTAGTATATTTTTAATCTAAGTGACCAATACATTTATGGTATGGCACAAATTATAACTCTGTGGCATTTGAATATGTGTCCACATACATTAATTCGACCTAACACCCAAACACCTAATTCTGTTTGGACACAACAGGAATCGATGGTGTGCAAACACAGAACTATTTCTTAAAAAAAGTAAAGCACAGATTCAAGGGATGTTCCCACTGAAAAGAATCATTCATTTTCTAGGTACCTAAAACAGATACTCCTGAGAAAATACCTAGGCACAATCAGTATCCAGCATCGCCGACATCGCCTAGGCAGCTAAAAAAGCAGACTCTCAAAGCAAACACTTCAGCACCATCGTGGCTCGGCGATTGTCGCAATGACAAAGTGTGCCGACAAGTGTTTCGGTATTGATGGCACACAAGCGGTGCGAGGAAGGCGGCGCATCTCCGTCAGTAGTCCGCAAGCGATCACCTTGATGGTGGCTATGGTGAGGTGGATGCGACGTGGTCGTGGATTGCGAGATGCCGCGGCCGACCGGCGCTTGAACTTGCGCCTTCTGGCAAAGCGCTCACCGTATAAGCAGACCATGGCCGCATCATAGGCTAGGGCTGCCTGAATGGCATTTTGAAACCTGCCGATCCACAACTTCAATCGAGTGCGTGGTATGCGGATCTCCATAGCCCACCCACCCCAACGCCGTTGTCGCACGCCCGTCCAACCCATGGCCTTCTGTGGCCGACGACCAGTGGATGCTGACCCCCTAGCCGGACGCCCACTGAGGCGCTGCTGGGGACATCCCCTCCCTTCTGATGCCATGGCGCTGGTTCGCACGGCTGCTGCGGGCATAGCTCACCTGCAATGTGCAAGAAAGCTGAGTGAGGCCAGGGCGGTGGTTCTAAGTGGAGACGAATGGGATAGAGAGGGTGTGGTTTTAAATGCGTGGGAATAGACAGACCAGTTTGTCGGTGCCTCCCGTTAGTCATTCAGCCATGCACCTCTTACGCCGCAGTATTTATTGGCACATAAGCCAAGTGATTACCTCATAAAGATTTTTTAACTATGACTGTCCTGATTGTGTTTCATCCTGCAACAAAAGTAAATGGTATTTATTATCTAATATTTTAGCAGATAACTGGTTGGAATTAGAGAATGCTGCTTCTGAGCCTCCATAGAACAAGCAAGCAGTCTTTGGTTGGCTTAATTAAAATGCTACGATCACCTATCAAACTAAGGAACCCGGAGGAGAAGGAGAGATCTCAACCCAATACAAAATACACAACGCCACAGAGGCACACCACATGTATTTATTCTAAGGGCACAGAGGAACATCGAACAATACATACATGAGACTGCACACACCTAAAGGTACATACAAAGCAACAAAAGGTACACATAAAAGGTACTTAATAGCGTCCACGGTACAACGACATAGTAGCCTAACATGGGTAACAATATATGGGAAAACACGACCAGATGGACGGAAGGAAGCCTTTGAATTGGTTGTTGCACATGCGCATTGTCATTAGGGATGGTGTGTTCGATGGATGATTACATAGGAGATTGCTAGGCTAGCACATGGTGCAAAGGCCAACATTTCCTAGAGGCCCTCATGTGATTGCATCCCCGCCAGGGAGTGGAAAAAGTAAGTTAGCGAGCCATTTAAAATAAATACGATGAACAATTCTTGTGAAGCAACACAAACCAAGGAGCATGCATGCATACCTTTAAAAGCTCCCAAGGGATGTATGTAGGGATGTTCTCCAGACAAGGTGAATAGCTGTTCAACAAGTTGTATATACCGTGGGTCTGGTCCAGCAACCGGCTCTGCACCGATGGACGTAAGAGGAGTCGCTGAAGAAAGGATATCACTATAGCTTGAGCAGATGGATCCAAGGCGGTCCAAAAGCTCCTTACGAGACTTGAATAGGTTGTCCGTTTGGATGCGCAGTATCATCACTTAGTCTCAACAAGCCGGGACCAAGACATGAAGTGGTCCAAATTTGCTTATACGCTTCCTTGAAAGCGAATAAGTCGATCATTAATGCAAATATTCATCCTTCCTATAAAATAGCAGATTGCTTGCTCAGCAACACTTTCTTCTGCCTCATATAAGCTCGTGAAAGGGACACTCTCGAAAGTCTGAACTTCTGGCAGGCCCTTGCTGCCAGCTTTGGAGCGAATCTCAATGCTCAGCCACGCCAAATAATTTTTCTTGTTATCCAACTTCATCGCTCCCTCGGTCTGCGAATAATCGCGCCTATCTTGGGAAGAATCATCTTAACATGCTCTTGCGTGATATATCAAGTACAACCGAACCTACAACAAAGGGACGAAATATAAGGATCTAGAGTATCGTGTGTATATATAGGTGGACCCAATGAGTAGCTACTATATCAGAACTCATACGCATGATAAGCAAAGTGCACAAATAGAAGCGGATGGACCAAATAGTGTCAATGAATGACTGTGCATGATAACCCAATACCATCGTGCTCCATGCCAAAACAACTAAATAAAATAATACTGCACAGACGAAATTGGCCGCAAAGCAAATGAACGGGAGTGGGGGCACGGGACATGGCCATCTAAAGAACCGGAGGAAGTGGTGGCACGGGGACATGGGCATGAAAATTAGCCAACGCAGCGCGGCGGGGGGACATGGGCATCCAAAGTACAGGAGGGAAGTGGTGGCACGGGGACATTGGCATGCAAATTAGCCAACTGAAGCGCCGACAAGGGGACACGACCATCGAAACCATCGAGGGAAGTGGCGGTCACGACCATCGAAACGATCGAGAGGAGGGAAGTGGCGGAGCTCCTTCGTTGACGACACTCTTACCCTTGTCCACGTTGATGATGACGCTCTTACCTTTATCCATGTTCTCGCTAGATGAACGACAAGTTATTGTCTTGGATATATATAGAATCAATCGGTGCATACATAGGTCAGAAAGATTTTTTTATTTAAAATAAAACAAATATATGTAGAATTTGATATGCATTTCCGTAATACAAGTGGCGGGAAACAATATATAATTATATCTATGCGAGATAAGAATTCACACAAACACATGCCAAAGTATGAGAAAGGACAAAATAAAATAAGGCTGCTACAAATAACATTAGTAGATTATTAAATATAACATTAAGGCTGCTAAAAATAACATTAATAAGCTATTAAATATAGCATTAATTAGTTGACAAATGCATGATCCTATTCGGTTGGACCACCGCTCGAACGTGGATGGGTGAACGTTGTCTCCCTAGCTATACCAGAACCTATTGCAACAATAAATTTGGAATGCTCAATTCTTCGACTCGACCTATGCCTTCTTTGTGGATCGCCGGCAGCCCCCCACGCATGGAACTTGCCATATAAATAGCCATGCCATATAAATAGCCAAGCTTCGCGCAGTGGAGTAATGCCCGCGGTGAGCTACACACATGACAAGGATGGGCTACTGAATAAATGCACGCACTGTTAACCCGCCTTCCTTGGAATGCGTCATTGGCTCGCAAAATGGTCTGCATGCACACGAGCTGCAGCTTGTCCATCGGCAACATTTTTGCACGGAACACGCATCCATCCACACCATGACGTAACGTGCACCCTTGGACCCATCCAAAGCTGATGCTAGTGCGGATGCATGACCCATGAATCCTTTGACACATCTATGGCATGAAATAAATTTACTATGCACAACCAAATTTACTGTGAGAGAGGCGAGCGAAAGGACGATGTTCGAGACCACAATCTCTTGTCACATCTATGCATGGAGTAAATTTACACCGCCAGAAAGAAAAAGAACTTTACTACGCACAATAAAAATTTACAATGCAAAGATGCGGTGACCATGCAAGAGCGCAAAGGAAGGTGGTCCTTGAATCTCTTTTCGCATTTATGATATGGTATAGGTTGTCTAGGATGCCAGTGTCATTTATGATGGCAGTGACCTATCCTAGAAGAGGAACCCCCGAGTCCATTAAATAGCCATTCTTGCAACCGCAGTGCAAACCATTCTTGCAACCATGCTAGGGGCCGAGCGCATTGCAACGTTACTTGGCAGGCCATGCCCACTGCACCACATACCCTGTAAATACATATGTCTGAATTGTCTAGACCTACAGCAAGAAGCTCTGTGTGCACAATGCCGAGCAGACCATGTATCCCACCATGCATCCCACCGGACCCTACAGGTTCTAGAATCCGCCCAGTGTAGTCACCCCTATATAGGTAACATTTAATTGAATAAGCACTCAGCATATCTTGCAGGTGCTGAAGAAGGCAACCAGAGATGTGGTACGCGTACGAGATGTGTTGAGCCTTGTTGATGTGGCCGGGGTGCAACAATACGTCTGTAACAGGGCTATGGTGGTTTACCTTAAAAAATGGCCTGGCGATAGATTCTACTCGCGTAGGTCCAAGCAAGAGAACCTCTGTGTTGCCTGCAAACAGAGGCTAAAGA